AACACCAAGTATTGCTCTCTCCCTCTCCTAGTCTAGTACTATTGCATCTTACTGCCTTCCCATTTAACCAAAGTGTCAAGCCCCAGCTGAAGGGGAAGGGGCTAGGGGAGAGAAACCCATAGCAGGCTGACGGAGGATGGTCAATGGGCCTGGGGGATGAAGGTTTTGGAAATGGCTCACAAGGGTATGGGTGAACACAGTTTTAGGGTTCCTCACTGAGCTTTCTGCTCTTGGTTGTATGGATGGCCAGCCTCACCTTTTCAGGAGGAGGAGGAGGATGTTGTTGGAAGCAAAATCCCAGCAAGAAGCTCTGTATTGAGTAGACTGAGCTTGGCTCTCTGCAGTTCCTTACCTGCTCGGGGCAGTAAGGTGTCCCACCTGAGCTCCCAGGACAACATGGCGCTTCATTTATACTAACTCTTTAGCAGGCTTGTCTTCCAAAATGTAGATTGAAATACAGGCTTAATTTCTGTTTTCTGTTCCGCCATACGTCATGAACATTGCAGCAAACATGGCTCTAGGCCAATTCTGGGAAGTGGACACTTCTAAGGAACAGCGTGGTCAGCCTGCTGCTTGCTGACTTACCAAATACCACTGTTGGGATGAGGGCACCCTCATTTTTCAGAAGAAGCATTTATTTCCCCTAGCTCCAGGGGAGAAATAAAGAAGAATAATCACTGATTATATTGCCTTTTTTTTTTTTTTTGGACTTCTTTTCAACCTTCCAATTAAGCCAGGAAGTATAGAAGTCAGGAAAATAAATCTGCAAAACAGTCAGCAGTGCTCACCACTTGTGGTGGTAACAGAGCCAGTAGTACCTTCTCATGGAGAGGACTAATGATCTACAAAATTGATCACTGTTGGAAAGCTACAGTCTCTCAGATGTCAGCATCTTTTCAGCATGGTCACTTGTTCTTATAATTGTTTTCACGGTAATTTAAGGTGCACCTTAAGAGCTGGGAGATTTTAGTATTCCCAGTTAATGTTTAAGGTAGAACTTCATGAGAACAAAAGAGTTTTATTAATTAAATGGACTTAGGAATGTTATCTCCTATGGAAGGCAACTTCTATGGAACAGGTCATACCTGTGTAATTAAACTCTTTGCCCTCCAAAGCAAGGTAGCCACATCCAGATCACTTGTTGGGACCTGTCTTTGGCCCAAGCTAACTTCTCAGCTATGCAAAGAAATCATTTGGGGCAAGGGCTACACAGCCAGAACTACAATCACACTGAGACACATGATTAGTATGATCCCATTCCCTGGAATTACTGCAGAAGTGTTGTTGGAAAATATGTAGCTTCACAGGCTGGACAGCCATACAGACATTAGTTTAAAAAAAAATTGTTATAAAGGTCCCTTATAGCCCCAGCAGCATTCAACCTGTGAATCTTTAGGAGAGTGTCCCTTCTGGCCTTGACAGCAGTATTAAATAATGGATCCTGGACCCAACATTGAACTAAACATTTTAGGCAGTGTTATTAACAAAAGGGAACCTGCATCAGTAGCTGCTGCTAAAATGCCTGTGGAGGAGTTTCTCTGCACCTGCTAGAGCAGGAACCCAGCTGGATGTGCAATGCTGATATGAACCATGAATGTGGCATCTCCTGGATTTTGGTAGCATTGAGTTCGTGCATTTGACTGTAGACTGGCTTCAGCTTTTGTAGGTTTTTCTGGAAGCTCATTCTGCTCTAACTGCACACAAGACAAATAGTCTGCTGCTAAAATGAGATGAGTGGGGCTCTATCACAAGCATAAAGCATTAGTCCCCAGCAGTCTGGCGCCTGTGCTCTTGCCAGTGGTGGGAGGAGCAGCAAACAAACCAGTCTCACTGGCAGCAGAAAAGCTTCTGGTGAAATTTAAAATAATCTGTTTCATGTTCACCACAGCAACCAACTAAATTTTGTCTTTAAAGCTTTTTTGCTCTTCCAACTTCTTCCTTTTCTTTCACACCTGAGGAACTCAGTCGATCAGTCTGGGGCTTGCCCAACTCTGTGTTGGCAGCTTGGAAGCGATGGGATGGGGGTTCAGCAGCTGCTTCCAGTGACACGCCTGCTCTGCTGCTATTTCTGTGCAGTGTGGCTCCACAGGAAAGCCTCCTCTGTGCACATCACAACTGCCTTGGCCCTGTGGCTTAGCAGTAATTTATGGATCCATGTTTCTTTTGAGCTTTTAAAAATAATTCCGATTGAAAGGGTTTGTTCTGGTTCCAGCTGAAGTCGGCAACAAGGGCTGTGGGGACTGGTGTTTGAAGCAGAATTGGGATGCCGTTGCCTTACTCAGGCAACTTTTACCTCCCTTCTAAATACTGAGATTCCCCCTCACCTCCAAGTCATCTGAGACCAGCCAGTGCTCAGCTGTGTGGCAACAGGGGAGAGGAGTGGCAGGAAGCGAGGGTTTGTTCGTTTACCGTTACCAATCCCATTGGAAACCAGCTCCAAGCCCCATGCAGAATTCCAGTAAAACCCTGTCCTAAAGGGAAAACCCGGGGCCATTCAAAGCTTGTGTTTTGTTGGCTTGGGCACAGCATGCTTCTGGGGCCTTTGACCTCCTCCCCATACACTGGCTCCCGCCGCGGCTCTTCGTTTGAGCTCTCTGTGAAGTGGAATCTATCACTAATGTCTGATATTTTTATTATTTGTAGGGGGGACTCTTAAAAGCTGGTAGCAATTAGAGCTTAAACGTCTTGGAATAAAAAAAAAAAAATCCCAAGAAGGAAGTTGAATGCTAAGCAGATGTGCAGGAGCAGCTGAAATATGCTGGCTGTCTTCTGCTTCAGAAGCAACCTCATCCACATCTAGCTGCTGTCGGGCTGGGGCAACTGAGAAGTGCTGCTGCTTTTATGCTGCTTCCTGGGCTGAGAAGCCCACATTGTGGACCTGTGGGATTGTTTACCAATTAATATTTATACTGCCCTTTTATTCTGGCTTAGTTTTGACAAGGAGAAAAAAATTACAATATTTTTTTATTATTATTTGATAATGGCTAACAGAGTTGGGTTTTTATGGTGAATTTGGTTCTTTGAAATCTCACATGGGATATCTGTAGATATGGCTACTGAGGATCTAGGTTTAAACTCCCTCTCTTCTTTGGCAGACAGATCTAGGGTAGCCCTAAGCTTGTGGTAAGTGCAGCTTAATACCTCTGTCTTTAATTATTGGGTGTTTCAGCCTTTTGCTGCCAGCTTGGATGGGGGCAAACTTTGACATCTTCCCATTTGCTCCTACAATACATCATCTGCTTGATTTATCACTGCTGTACTCAGGTTCTTCTGTCTGGAAAAAGATCTGACAACTGACTGAAGTTCATAATCCTGTTCCCGAAGGCAGTGGAAGTCTATTCAAAAGCTAATAGACAAGTTGCTGACAACAACTCCTTCACACCCTTTTCCGTGCATGCCCCAAGTCTGTAATAGAAACATGCTGTATATTCCCTCCATAAGCTACACCATAAGTTACTCTGCCAGATGATTTCCTGTTATACTCTACCAGTGCAGAGCCTTTTTCATTCTTTCTTAAATGGTAGTCCAAAGTAAATTATTGTAATTTACCACAGTTTTTGTAGTGTATTGTGACAGTGGAGTGCATGGGTTTGGGAGTTAGGTGGTTGAAAGACTTCAAATTTTTCTCAAGGCTGCCACTATAGAGAGCTTATTGTAAAGTAAGCAAAATACTGAATCCATTTGAATTCCAGTTTTGTTCTACACGATGAAAATTGTGTCCCTGATCTAAAGAAAGGATTTCAAAACCTCACCATTCTCCTAGTGCTGAGGAAATGCAGCAATGTGTTTCTTGGACTTCTGGTTTCCATTGGGAAAGTTTGAGAACTGTTTCTTAAGGTTTGTATCATGCTAGCAATTTCTCAGTTATATATGTACTAAAAATCTGTTCCTGATGTTTGACTGTCTTGGAGATATTCTGCAGTTCAGAAGACAGTAACAAGTCAAATAGACAAGGCCACCAGTATAGCTTGCCTCTCTCTCCAACTCATTGAAGGGTACATCTTCTCTGTTATTAAACTGATAGGTCCAGATCAGGGTTCCTCATTGCAAATAAATTGTGGGGTTTTTTTTCAAATTTCATTTTGGAGTTGCTTATCAGATTTAGGAAAGTCTTAGAGAGTCATATAAGCACCTCTCCTCCATCTCTTCTCCCATGCAATATGAGAGTAACAGCTGCCCTTCTGCTCCCTCATCCCACAGAAGGGGAATGCTTTCTGGTTCTTACTTAAAAAATGGGGGCAAACCTGCTAAGTTTTAAAACATGTGTCCAGTGCATTCAAGAAAAAAAGCAGCACTTAACATTAGAGGATTATCTCCAGAATCCCAAGCCAAGTATTTACATCCCATTTCACAGAGGGGAAGGAATATCTTTTGACCTTGTTGGTAGCAATTCCATTAACTTTCTCTTTAACCAGATCTGTCTCAAACATTTGCTAAAAAGATGGAACTTCCAGTCATACTTCGAATGTACCTTTATAGGAGCTTTTTACTCTTTTCCAGGGAGCATTATTTGTCTATTGTTATTTTCCTTAATGTTATTCCAGGGTAACAAGATGTTTGTAGAAACTTACATGTGTTTGCTAAGCTCAGTCTCTGCGAGTTGTCTGTTGGTCTTTTGGGGATCATTAACAGCTGCAAAGCTAAATAGTTTTGCAGATCTGAGGCTTAATAAGTCAAACTGTCTCTTGGTATGTGTTCCCTGTCCTATTGGGAATAAGCTCGGGGCATATCCTATTCTGAGATCTCAGAATTTGGGTCACCTACAGATCAGTTTCCTAAGTTCTGCAAATCCCCTAAAACATAAAAATTAACTGGGTGGTTCTTATGACTTGACCTTCCTCTGAGTCCCCATCATGCCAACACTACTCTTAAGAAAAACTTAATGTATCTTTCAAAACTGTGTTTACTCTCAGACTTTCTGATATGACTGTTTTTTGACTGTTTTCTTGTGTCTCTAATTACTTTCTGTTTTCATGGCTGCCCTATAATTGGATTTCAAGTTTGGATGTCCAGTTTGTCTGAGACTCCAAAAAAGAGCGTCACTCCAGGTAAATTCTTGCATCTTGGTGTTCTGCATGCTATTAAAAAGAGAATTCTGTAGTTCAAGCTGTGTGTGCTTTTTGGAGTTATCTTGAATGTGAGTCTCTGACAGTGGATACCAGGATGTGTTGTCTTGTCACAAAAATCGGTTTTTCATGATGCACGATTTCTCAAAAGGAAGAGCTTTGCTTTTCTGGTGACTACCTCACCTTGATGTTGCTGCTAGCAGTGGTTAGTAGTTTGCTGTGTTTTATTTTCCTTGCCCAACTCAAAGCCACAATCCAAGGCAGCTTCACCCAACCTCTTGTGGTGGGTTGACCCTGGCCCCAGCTAAGTTACCTGCACAACTGTAATCTCAGTATTTTGTGTGGGATGGAGGAGAGAAGAAGAGAAGCAAAACTGAGAAATCTTATGAGCCAAGACAAAACAGAGAAACACGACTACATGCTCCCTATCCTTCTGAAATGCTCTTTTGCATTTCCACAGTAAGTAGAAAGGGTGTTACATGAATAAGATGAGACTCTGACAAAGTTGCAAAATTTTCAAGGGAGCATCAGTCTCCTTGGTGCAAGGAGCTGGGAAGGAGGAGGGAGCAGGGGAACAACTTTTAGATGAGGTGTCAAGGTCTGGGGAGAAGTAGTCCCATACAAGGCAAAAACTAAGAGACAGACCCTGTGCCTGCACAGGATGCTGGGCTGGTCACCCTGTCAGTTAAGGCTACACATAGGTCTTGGGGCAAGGAAAGATGGAAACGCTCCTGCTGCTTTCCATACCACATTTGGTAAATATTCAAGTTCATGCCCTGTTCAAAGTATGTGAACAAAATCCCACCATCCTCAGCAGATGAGTGCTTACTCGCCTGGAGTTTTTAGTGAGTAATACTGCTATGATTCCAGAAATACTATCCTTGACAGAAGTTGAATAAAACCTTGGGGGGGGGTTGCTCTGCCTCATCTTAGCAGAATAGGTCTAATTTCAGGGTGGTAGCTGGATATAAAAGTGCAGAAATATCTGAAGTATTTAGTCACAGGAGCCTCTTGGTTGACAGGTCACTGGGAAGTTGAGACAGAAACAGAACAAGACTGAGCAGGAGAGAAACATGTTGAGGAGGAGACAGAAGAAGTGGTGTCCCATAGGAAAAATGACAAGAACCCTTCAGATTACCTGGCTGGGGGGGTGACTCAATACATCTGTTGGGACTGTTTCATTGTGTTTATATATAAAATGGCAAACTGAATGCCAAAGTTTTTAGCCTTCTTGAAAGGCAAGGAAGCAAAATCTTAAATAGATATGAATTTTTTCCCTTCTGCTGACTGCTTTTAGCTAAATGCATGTTGCTAGTTTAGCATAAAAAAAAATCTGTGTGTGATGATAGTGCAAATATAAGTGATAAATTGCATTGCATGGTGCTCAAGAAGGTGAATGTTGATATATAGTGCTGCTTGGAAGTGTTATGTACATTTGGCAGGTTCTTAGCTCTCCACACTCTTCTAGTTCCTGGCCTTTCAGTTTGCTTCTCATCCAAACAAATACCCAGCTTCCAAAGCAGCTATTCTTCAGTACAGATCTGCCATGGGCTGTAGCCTGATGTGTTAAGCTGGCAAAGCAGGCTTGAATTTGGATATAATCTTTACCCATGTAGTCAAGACTCATATATGTGTCTTAGGCTGTGGCTTGGAGACAGTTTCATGCTGCCCAAGCTCTGGCTGAGGTCATGAACCTGCTCCATGAAGTGGAGAGTCTAACCGAGAATTGCAAGTCGTTTAATTTCCTACTCTGGAAAAAGATGGGTGCCATACAGCCACATCCAGAGAGGTGCTGTGGTGGGGCACTATATGGGTTACTCTGACTGCTGTTAAACTCCTTGGCTACTCTGCTTCATGCCATGTGTTGAACTACTGAGCAGGACTAGGGCAAATACTAGAGTATATAGGTGACTTCAGCCTGGTGGAAGACTCAGTTTGGCAGCTGTGTGAAAATCTCCAAGCAGTTTAACAGATTTGTGTGCAAATACTTGAGTATTCTTAACTGTTGCTACCTGTAACCTAGTTGGTTGGAATCGCTGTTTGGAGAGCCAACTTTCCAAGAAGGAGTGGAAAGAGGACTCAACTTCTTACTTTCACCCTCCTGCCTCTAATTTTTCTTGGCTCAGTTTTAAAACCTAGCAGATCAAAAATAAAAATCCTGAGACTAATAGTCTCCAATTGGCAAAGGTCAGCACTGAATTTTTCAGGATTTCATTGGAAATGCTGCTGAGGACTGTGAAGAAAGAACTGAACTGGAGCACTTGCTTGAGAGAGTGCCTGCCATTTACCATGGGCCAAGCTCATTCCTGAGGCCCTCCCCTAAGGGGCTGTGTTTTGCTGCTGGTTTTAGCTGTGCATCACACACACGCCAGTGCTGGAAGCCACAGTCTACCTTAAAGCTGCTACTTGTCCCAAACTCTTGAAACCTAGATCTTGGTTCTTCAAGTGCTAGAAAATACTACACGTGTCTTGTGCTGGGGAGTGAATCCAGGCATTGGGTTAATTTTCTGCTGCTGTAAATGGTGGTCATACTCTTTTCTTGGTGGCAATGCATGCTGTTGACGTGGGCCCCCTGTAATTTTTTGTAGCAGCAACTCAGGGGGACAGGAGGGAGTTAATGCAGCTCATGGAGTTACCATCTAGACCAGATTATGGCATGTTTAGCCAAAAGATAAGACATACTGGAGTTTTGGCTACTCTGCAAAGAAGCTATTGCCCCATATACTGAAAGGCTTGCAGAGCACATGAGCACTGTGGAGTTGAGGAAGGTGGAAGGATGGATGCTCACTTAGGGAGAAAGTATGTTAATCATGGCTGCTAACCCAGGGTGAGAGGATTTGCGTGCTGACCTGGCCATCACTGGGTGTGTAGTGCTCAACCCTGTTTTATTCTTGGACATTCTTTGGGATTTGGACAAGGTTTTAGGCCAAACTTCTCTGGCTTTGGGTCTTCTGAATCACTTACAAGGTCAGATCAAAACCATTCCCTTTCTGCTTTCCACCCCATTTCTGTTAAATAGCAGGGTGTCACCCGCTTCTGAAATTACAGAAATGATAGTCTATTAATAACCCATTTGATAGACTTGCCCAAGTATTTATTTTCTTCTCTAATGTGGCAAAGGGGTTTTTGCCAGGACTCTTTTATTGCTAAGACTTTGAGACTGGACTTGTACTGAATTTCTGTAGTAACTGTGGGTGGTGATGAACTTTTGTCTCTGTCTCTAAAGCTTTGTGGCTCAGGTCTGCTATTCCAAGAGCTGATGAGCTCTGAAGTTAAATACTAGGACTGGGGGGATAACTGTCTGGTGGAATGGTTGGAGATGAATCCCCTTTACTATCGCTCTAAGCTGTAAGTGGTCTTTTACCTCCAGGAATAGTAGATGTGTAAATATATCCTTAATTTTGGTAAGTGGGAAGGGGGCTGAATAGTGATAGGCTGGAGTGCAGGAGTATCCAGGATATGAGTCAAAGCCCCAGCTGCTTAGGGCACATTAAGAATATTAGAAGGACAAAAATCCAAAACACCAAAACAAAAACCCCTCACTGAATAGAAGAGATCCTAGATTGAGGAACACAGTTTTGATCTGAATCCATATTGTTCCCAAAAGAGATTTGTAGCAGGCTTCATCAGTCTCAGCCTACTGCTTACTCTAGGAATTGGTTATTTTAGGAACTCCTTTTCAAAGACCCCTGCGAGATCATGAACTTTTGTATACTCTTGTGTGCATTACATGGCAAACTCTGCTTTATCTTTTGTGCAATAGACACTTAACCCAATTTTTAGGCAGATCTAAGCTCTCTATCTTAAAATACTTTGGGATAAATCACTGGTGGAGGCTCAAGGAAAACATGTAATTTTAAGTATGTTTATTTATCATAGTCATGTGGTCCTTCTGATAAGAAAGAAAAGAGGTAAAGTTTTTAGGGGAAGCTGGGCGGATGATTGCTGTGAGGAATTAGACAGATTTGAGGATTTTAAGTAGGCTTGCTGCTATTCTGGGATATTTTTTTTTTCTCTTCCTCCTTCCCCAAAAGGAGTTTTCCAGAGATTCATAAAGGTTTGCCCTTCAAGAACTGGCTTTAACAAGAAACCACAGCTCTAGATCCAAGCTACCACAGTTACTCCTCGCTATGCGTGGAAAAGTGCAGAGCTCTGACACTGTCATATGGAATGCCGTGACACTTGGGGACATGTCTGCCAGACAACCCTGTGTGCAGACCCTGCTCGTGTCCTCAGTTGTGCCCATGTCAGAAGAGCTGGACTACCTGCCAGTTGGTTGTTCAGCTGTGAGTCACCCTTATGGCATTCACTGACCGTTTCTGTGGTTTTGGCTGCCTCTGCAGAGCTTCCACTGACCAGCCCAGTACTAATTCATTTAGTCTCAATCTGTAAACACTTGATTGATAATCATAAAAGGGCAATATAAAAGCCTGTGTGCTGTATGGATTAAAAGAACAGACATGTTTATAGCCTGATAACAACAGAGTAATCTGGCAAAGATCATGAGTCTCAGATTTCCATATCCAGATGATTTTATTTTTGGAGTCCAGTTGGTGGTTTTAATTTTTGGCTATTGCAAAACCATCGTAGGTCTTAGCTGTTGCAACACAGGAGGAGGAGGATGATGTTGTTGGAAGGGGTACTGTGTACACTTATTTAAGAGGCTTTCACAGTAGTTGCTGGTCTCCGAGTACAGCAGGAGGAATGATGCTCCCTCCTCGCTGCCTGGTGAGGGGGACACTGTGTCACTTAATAGTGCCAGCTCTGAAGGGCATGACGAGCTCCGATGACATTTCTGCTCAGCCCCAGGAAGAGACTCGCTGAGGTGAGGAGCGGGAGGATTGTAAAGTGGAACCCTATGGAGAGGAGGAGGGGTATCCTCAAGACTTTAACCAGGAAACGGACTCGAGGCAAAAAGAAATGGAGAGGCAAGCAAACTCTTATTTCAGCCAGCAATCTGTCTTGTGCTCTGCTCTGGGGAGGGCTTGCAAGTTGAAGCTAAACCAAAACACTAATTCTGCTTTCTTGGAGGGAGAGGAGGGGGGACCTTTACCTGGCACATCAGTCTTATCCTATCCTCTCCATTTCTCCTGCCTGGGCTGAAGATGCTTTTAAAAAAGTAGGGCTCTCATGTCAGGGCAGCATTGCAGCCTGCATGTGAGCTTGCTGGGGAACTCGCTCCACTCTGCATCCCTCTTCTCTGGTGTGCTCACACTGAGCCCACTGTGTCCTGTGGTACAAATTAGACCTGAACTAATTGGAGGGATGCGGAAGCGCCCACGGCAGTGGGTGTAATTGGTGCTGTGCTCCCTGTGGTGTTGCCTGTCTTGTTCTTTTGAATCCCTTTTTGGGGGCAAGCCTGGAGTCTGACATAGTGTACCAGCAACGTTGTGGGCATCCTAAGTGTCACTGAGGAGTAATTGGTCTAAAGATGCTTGTGGGGGATGGAAGGCTGAGGAGGATTAAAGTCTTTTACCCTTCTGACTGTGCCTGAAGGGAATGTAGTAACAACCCAGAAAATGTTTAAAGCTTTTGATTACTGGAATGATCTATGTCCTCTTTCCTCCTCTTCTTTTTCCTTTCTTTACTCTGTTACTGAAATCTTCCCCAATGTGTAGTACCTAATCCTGGATGAGCATCACTCTGGGAGCCACAGGGACCCCACCCCTCAAAAGAAGGATATCCTCTAGGCATGATCTGCTGTACCTGTAAATAAGCAAGTTTGTTTGACCTTGGTTACTTCCTAGACCAAGGAATTTATCACCCTGGTTTTTTGGTGCTAATAGGAGCCCTGTAGCACTTAAACAAGCTTCTGTTAAAACAATCTCTTAATTGTATACGTTCCTCCAGCCACTGTAGCAACAAAGAAATCCTCCTGCAGTGAGTAGCTTATCCAAGGCAGGACAGAGGAATGAGCATTTTAAAGTCTTGCTGGATTTCAGATATCTGTATGCAGATATAACCTGTCTTGCTGGACTGTTGTAAGTGAGTTGTGGCACGCTTTTTGTTGTTTTGTTGGTTGGTTGGTTTGGTCTTATTTGTTTATTTTTATGTTGTTTAGTTTTGGTTCTGTTTGTGGTTTGTTTTTTTTTTAAAGCCAGAGTTGTGGTGGATTTGGAGTGCAGATTCTCCATGTTTCCTGGCAAGGGCACTCCCCTGGCACACGGTTCCTGGCTTGGCCTCAGTGGCTGCCAGTGGGGTGTTTGCCAGCCTGCGCTCCAGCCTGGTCTTCTCCTTGTTCCCAGCAGGGACACGTGCATCACTGTTCCTGCCACCAAGCCAGTGCTGTGTTTTGGATTTTTTTTTTTTCTTATTCTACTCCCATGAAAACTGTCTAGGAGGTTAGAGGAAAGAAGGCATTTGGGTTGTGGGTTTAGCAATTACCTTTCTGCATGTCCCCTGCTCCCCTTGCCACTGTTTGGTCCCTCATTTTTCTTTTCCGCACGTGGAATTCTCTGCTGGTGCACATGCATAAACATAAAGCCATGATGGCTTTTGTTTCCGTTTCAAGAACTTGTATTCATCTAAAGAAGACTAAAATAAAGTAGGGGTTGTAGGTGTTACTTGTATAAATAGGTCAAAGGAAGATTATAATGCTGCCACATTTTGCACTGGATGAAGGACTGTGTGGGAAACTGTGAAACAGGGGAAAGCATCTTATTGCACTCTAGGCTACCCAACTAGCACTGGTTTAAACCAGAATGTATAAGTCAAGTTGATTCATCATGAAGAGAAACATGATGCTTATTTGGAATGGACAGCTATGGTGAAAATTTTTAATATAAATTTCCATGTTGTCAGTTCATGGTCTTCTCCCCCTATCCCTACTACTGGCTGTGGTTCAACTATCTATATAAAAGCTAAATCTCTTAAACACAAACTTCTAGAGGAGATGACTCCTCTTTAAAGAAAATTAACTTATGTAACTTGAGGAGAGTCAGAGGCACGCTTAGGGAGCAAGGAAGTCTTCTAATTTTCTGGATTTCTTCAATCTGGTCCAAAGGGAGGCATTGTGATAGTGCTTCCTTTCAGGAAACAGTTGAATTAATTGCTTTTTGTTCTAGGATTTTCATTTCACAGGATGCTGCTTTAATGGCTGATACATTCTTTACCTCTTTCTTGGCAGGGATGCTAATTACTTGTCTGTAGAATCACTTTACATCTCCAGCCCAAATGCATATGAACATCCTGGGTTTGGAAATACAGGGCCCAGCATCCTGTTCTTGGCTGTCAGTCCCTTGACTTTTCTGGTGGACAGTTTCAGACCATGCTGATTCCTTCCCGTCTCTTGTAGCCAATTTATCATCAGAAGTCCAGGAGACCTCGAGTCTGCTCCTAGCTCTGCCCCGTCACGTGAAATGGGACATTCAGCAAGTCATACATCTGCCTCTGTTTCCCCTTTCCGTCCGCATCTTAATCCAGAGCGGCTGCCTCTTAATATGTAAAATATATAATAATGCTGGTGTCCCAAACTGCTGTAATTCAGGTAACCTGTAAAATAATTTTGCATTCAGGCACGTTGGGTCTTACTTTGTAAATTGTAGGTGGTTTTTGCTCTGGTATGACACTTTGAAGACTATAAAATGAGGGCAGGTTAAGAAACCCTGATGTCCAAAAGGTTTTCGTGGCTTTTCAAGGCAGTTTCCAGGCAGAGCACAATCAGTCTGTGCCTGGGCTTGGGAGTGCAGAGGCCCCATCTGCGCTGTTTATGTTGCATCTGAGAGCAGAGATGCGTCTCATACGGCGAGCAGAGGCACAAGGTCTCCCTCCACATCTGGCACAGTGGTGTGCCTGCCTCGTGACTCCATCTCGAAATGCATGATTTTGGTTTGGGGGTGAAAAAGTCAGAAATAAAAAAAAAAAACCAAACCAAGAAGAAACATCAGCAATATGGGGGAAGGGAGGAGAACGGTTATTTTGCACCTTTCTTGGCCCCTGTTTGTGTGAGAGCCTGCTCTCATTCATAAGTGGCTCTGACAGCCAAAAGCTGCTATGAAGAGAAACCGAACAACTGGGAAGGCTGGCTCCAAGAGTTCCAAAAAGGCACCGAGAGGCGATGGAGAGGGGGAGCAGGAGTTTGCTGTGCCCTTGTCCCGCTCGGGGCTGCTCTGCCGCGGGGAATGCGGAACTGCGGAGCTGGCGGGGGGCAGGCGGGGGGTGGCCGCGTTTGAGCAGGGATCTGGCGCTGTAACTTTTTTTTCTTCTTCTGTTTCAAGTAAACACTCTTCCCCGCCTTCTCCTCGCTCCCTCCACCCCACCTCCCTCTCTTTCAGTCCCGCTCATGTGTTTCTATTTAAGGGCTGCAGTGCAGACGAATATGATTGGCATCTACAGCCCCCTCTTGACTTTCAGCTCAAGCCTTTAGAGTGGAGAAGGAGCTGAGCCGCCAAGGGGAGAGCTGTTTTTTCTTTGGGTTTACTGGGGGGATGGCTCAGCTGTGGATTTATACTGCTTCTGCCCAGGATTTTTCTCTTTGAATGGGAGCAAGGATTGTGGAAACCATGTTGGGAAGAGGTTTATTTTCAGAATCCATCATGAAACTGTACAACTAATTCACGTTTTTGGCTTCTTTTTATATTTTTTTTTCCTCCCCTTTTTTCTTCTTATTCTCTCCAATGTCCCTCTGTGCTGCTGGGTTGTGGGCCAGAGGAGGCTGTTTCTATATGGCCAGCCATTTGGGGATATGCTGCGAGCCAGGGTTGTTTGCTGATTCACTTGGCTCTGGTGACAAGTTGGCCTGTTCTGAATCGGATGGACGGAGGTCGCTCTCAAGGAGCCATGGCTGGAAGCTGGCTTACGGCTTGCTTTTTCCCTTCCCCAGGTGCTGATGCTAGCTCTGAACCCATGATCCTGGAGCAATATGTGGTGGTGTCCAACTATGAGAAGCAGGAGAACTCTGAGATCAGCCTCCAGGCTGGAGAAGTAGTGGATGTCATAGAGAAAAATGAAAGCGGTAAGTGATATTTGCTGGTTTTCCCTCTTCCAATGGTTTGATTTTTGCATGTGTTCCTCTGCTTTCAGTTTCCTCATCACTACTTGTAGCTGTATGTTAGCTCCATCTGGTACAGTTACTATGTCTGGCAGTGGATGTTGAAGTTTCTCAATGTTGATTTGGGCTGGGGGCCAAATGTTGCCTTCTACTGTAAGAATGTTTCATAGGTTTTGTGTATTAATTAGCCAAAGTACACTAATGGAAAATGAAGGGGAAGGAGGGAAAGATCTGCACCTACTGAAGCTGATGTATAGTAGGCTGCTATAGTTGCCTTGCTGTCTCTTCAGGTTTCTGTCAGTATTTCCATTACTAACTCCCTTTTCGGAGGATTTATAGGATGAGTGTTTAAAAATTGCTTGGGATGAAACTTGGCTTGACAGCCTAGTCCATGGCCCAGAGCTCAGTAGGGAGGGGAGAGAATGTGCGTAGATAAATACGTGGCTGTGCACAGTTTCAAAACTTCTTGCAGAAGTGTTAATTGGGGAATTTTGAGGCAAGGAGGCAGAGGCTGTCATGTAAAAGCAAGATGAAATCCTTTCTTCTGCCATTTGTGGAACAACCAGCTTCCACTTGGAAAATGAGACTTTTGGCAAGTGTTTGTATAGATGTCTTTTGTATGCTTTAACTCTTGGATGCCTTGTAGCTTGGAGCTGGGCAGAACAGATGCAGGAGACTGTGTACGTGTGAGTGGTTGGAGTTGGTTAGCAGCTGGTTTGAATAACTGCCTGTCTTTGGCAGCTCCCCCTCCTTCCCTCCAGCACTCCTTGTGTATTAATCCAGAGCTGTTGTCCAGGACTGATTTCCAGCCCACTCGTGACTTGTGTGTCCTCATCCAGAGGAGCTGCTGACATTTGGAGCGGTCCAAGCAAACGCTCACATTGTGGTACCTCCACATGCAGGGCTCTCACAACCGGCTGGCTCTGGAGCGTGCTGGGCACGCCAGAGCTTGGGGAAACTAGGACACCCTGATCTGAGATTCAAATCCAGCTTCCAGAGCTTTGAGCCAGGTTATCCACAAAGATGACCATGCATTGTATTTTTTTTTTTTCCTTCTTTTAATGGAGTGGTAATTTCTCTCCTGTATGAGAGCCTCATGCTTGTTTGGCTCAAAGTGATGCAGTCATTTGCTGGCTGGTGATTTAGTGTGGTGTCCAAAAGGATAGTGTGTGGAAATGCACTGACTAGTGTGCACAGAAATGCCTGTCTCCTGGGTGCTGGCTATATCACTTGCAAAACTAATAGAAACCAAACTGTTTATCTGCCCCACTTTAAAACAATAGTTATGATTGAAGGGGGAAAAATGTCTTAGCTTTTTAAACAGTGTCTGGGCTAGTGAACAAGCATCCTCCCTTCCAAGCCTGGGGCTCCTCATTGTCAGTAGTGGGTGTTACTGCCATCAGAGCAAGCCTGGTTATATTCCGGCAGTTTATATTCATGATATCCCTGTCTTGGCTAATGACTTATGGAGCCATGGGAATTGGGTTGTTAAATAATGCAAGAAGTGTCTGAATTCCAGTTACAGTTCCTTTGTGTTTTCTTTTAATGTGGCCTCTCTGACTTGCATAGTTCACACCATATTGTATTGAACCACATGGTATGGGGAGAGAGATAGAAATGGAGAATGTCAGGATTTGAATTTAATTAGTGGGTCCAGAAATGTGACTCTTCTAAGGGAACATCTTTGAACTTGGATTACACTTCTTAAAACCATATTCTAATACTTGGCAGTCAGATTTCTTAATGTCCGTGTAAACAAGGAGGGAAATCTGAAGCCTGGGACTCCATGCTGTGATCTTGCTCTTTATATTCATATATGTGTAAGATAAATATATGTATATCTTAAAAAAAAAAAAGAAAAAGGCAAATAAACACATAAGTCACAGATTGGTGATGGAGAGAGCATCACTTGCTTGGATCCTGTTGAAACTGTTCTGGTAGGGAAATCATGGTTTTGTTGTTCCAAGAACGGGACTCCAAACATACTCTTACTCTCTCCTAGATTAGGGGTACCACACAAATGACTTCAATAATATGACTTCTTGTCTCTTCAGCTATAGCTGAACCTATGAATGGCATGTAATTAAACTAGAAAAAGTTTTGCAAGTGTCAACTTCCTAAACTGCTTAGTGAAAGCAAGCAAACCTAGGAGATGAGATTATGACTTCTAAGAACATAAGGATACACTTTTAAAAAAAATATGATTATTTGACTGTGCACATGTGTAGTAATTAATCTGACTGATTGTTATGGTGGCTTGAAAGTGTTGTGAAACTATAGCTGTGATGTATAAATTAGGGTGCTTCTTCTGATCCAGACAAAGGTGTGATGTAAGGTGTTATGGATGTCACCTGCAGCAGGGGCAGTTCCTTCTGTGAAAGGAAGGCAGAATGGCTGGATACCTTGGTAGCTCATCACTGAGAAGTCCCATCAGACTGGACAGTATATGTTGGATGTGCTGCTGGGCCAAAATCTCAAACTTCATTGTGTGTATATACATGCATATAGCATATCATGTCTCCTTTGGGTGTTTCTTTAACTGTACTTTGGGGTAGTTAGATATGAAAAGGCACAGATGACTGCTTGATTTTAAAACCTTGCCTGAATAGGTTTGCCTGCTGGGGCTGAGGGGCACTTAAATGGTTCTTTTTGTGTTCTGCAGTGGGAAATACCTAAATTTGGCTTTGTTGCATGGTTTCATAGGGAAGAAACACCTTCTCTTTACTGGTCAAATGTCCCTATGCTTTTTAATCAAGGAACCTCAAAACTAGTTTCCAAACAATGGTGCATGTTTCATGTCCTGCTGGATGTCTTCTGCACACTTCTAGAGCCTGAGCTAGAGCTACCATCTTTTCAGATGTTTGCCTCCAAATTGTGTGCACTCCTGAAAGGAAGTAAGCTGGGCTTTTTCAAAGGCCAGTGTATAGGGCAGAGGTAGAATGGGGAAAAAAATCTGATATTTAATTTATTGAAGTCTTATCTGGTTTTCATCAAACTACTGTAACTTCATCTCAAGTCAGTGTGTTGCACTTACAGTATAGTATTACTCTGTTACTTTTCCCATATAAGAGGCAGTATTTAAGATGTCTCACAAACTGATATACACAAACCCATTTGGTAGGGTCTTGTCTCATAATTGGTTTTCTCTTTCACTGAAATAGTTGGATAAATTGTCTTCATTATTGTGCCAGTAAAAGTTATGACTTGGACATCATTTGAAGTTGAAAGTTCTGTCCCGTATTATGACTTAAAAGCAAGGTCATTGTAGCATACGTGGTGAATAATTTCCAAACCCCTTCGTCTGGGTCATGAAGCCTTTGGGTCACTGTAACCTGTTTTTTGCTGCAACCACCATGGAAGAAAACCTTGCTAGACTGAAGTATTTCTATACTTCAGAGCGAGATATTCAATCACGTACCAGCTCTCAGGCTTCAGCGTTTGATTTTTGCTGCAAATACCTATCTTGGCTCAAAAAAATTGTCCTTTAGACCTTAATTCTGATTATAAGAGACCCAGAATGCATTTGTATCTCATGAATATTTATCCCTTTCTTTTTTCCTTAGCTGGGGAGGAAAATCTGCATGTAGCAATAGTCACAAATGTATCAGGAGAAAAAAGGAGGTTTACAGTCTCTACAGATGTTGTCTGTGAAGTCTGTAGTTACACGGCTTGTGTTTCTTGCTAGAAGTGACTGTGATTTGTTTAAAGGCATGGTGTAAGCAACCTGCCTGGTCCAACGCTATCTAAACATTTCTGAGTTGTTTCAGAATAACTGTGAATAGTTGACGTAAGTCTTGTCTGTCAAGTACATAGGCTTCTTTTAAACCTTAACCAAAAAAGCCTTGTGGAGTGACTTAAAAAATGTATTTCTGCTGCAGAAACGAAATGTTGTGACTTTAAAGCAGGAATCTGACAGATTTCTTTAAGGTGGAAGGGGGAGGGACTGAGCCAGAGCAGCTCCCTCTCTGCCAAGTTTTGCATGGATGTGGCTTGAAATGGTCAAGCTATAAACTGTGGCGGCAGTGTTTGCAATGGAAAACCTGACAGACAGTGAAGCATAAGCATAATCCTGAGCAACTCTGCCCCTGCTGCTGCTCTGCTTGCAGGCAGGATGGGTGCTCTTTCCTTGCAGCCCCCGGGAGCTGTGTCTGCGGTGGAGGCGTTGTGGGATGGTGTTTTCAGCTGGGCTGAGCAGGACCAGAGCCACTTCCTTTGCAATTACATAACTGCAGACCAATTTTCAGTATTATAGTACATGTAATACGTAAAACAAAGCTATTATGGCTAGCGTAGCCTTTTCAGGACCCAAAGGGATCTCTGGGAAGGGAGGCTGTTCTTCACTCTTTATCTGGGATGTGGGACATGTACTGAAGTATCACCATTAGGAAGGTCTCTGCTCGTCTGGGAGTCCTGGCTTAGGGGTCTTGGGACCTTCTGGTTGTCTACAAAGTGTCAGGAGACTAGTGTGTGCCTGGCAATATCCTCTGCTGCCCCATTTGGTTTCCCTTCTGCTGCTCACTGCCTGCAGTCATGATGTAGGAAAGGGACATAGAGAAGCCTCCACTCTCTTGACTCCTGGGGATGCACTGGCTTCCCTATTGCAAACTCCCTCTTCTTGGGCTGGGGGCTTTTTGAGTTAGGCTTCTGACTTTTCATGGAGAACATAGCACCCTTTATACAAAGCTGTTGCTTTCCAGGGTTAAGTGGATTTATTTGGTACCAAATAGGGCCAAGAGTGCTTTCATGATTGACTACTGCATCTTGGCTAAAGGTGCACCCTTAAAGGGTTCCAGGTAGAAACAGAGAAATATGGTTTCTTGCAACTCATGGATCAATCTCGCATCCTTATATCCCCTCTGCCATGCCTGTTTTTGCAAGTACCATTGATTTTTAGTCCCCTTTCTTTAGTGTAGGTGGGGCTTTTGTTTTAAATTTTGTAAAGATCACTGTTTCTGTCTTGCAAC